TTTTTTTAAAACCACTTCGAACCATTGTGTGTTTGTGAAAAATTTCCCGGATGGTAAATTTATTATTCTTTTACTTTATGTTGATGACATGTTGATTATGGATCAAGATTCTACCATGATAAACAGGTTGAAATTGGAGTTGAGCAAGTCTTTTGCTATGAAAGATTTGGGACCGGCAAAGCAAATACTTGGTATGAAAATTGCTCGTGATCGTAAAGAGGGGCTGATTTGGTTGTCTCAAGAAAGCTACATTGAGAAAATTCTTGAGAGGTTCAACATGGATAAAGCAAAGCCGGTTGGTTGTCCACTTGCGGGTCACTTCAAACTTAGTTTGAATCAATGTCCTATAAGTGAGAAAGACAAAGAAGAGATGTTGAAAGTTCCTTATGCTTCAGCAATTAGTTCTTTGATGTACGCCATGGTTTGTACAAGGCTGGATATTGCTCACGCCATTGGTGTGGTGAGTCCGTTTCTCTCTAATCCGGGTAAAGAACATTGGGCAGCAGTAAAATGGATTCTAAGGTATCTTCGAGGGACTTCGAAGGTGTGTTTGTGTTTTGGGGATGGTAAGCCGATGCTTGATGGGTTCACGGATTCTGACATGGGCGGCGATGTTGATTCTAGGAAATCTAGTTCGGGGTATTTGATGACTTTTGCAAGGGGAGCTGTGGCATGGCAATCTAAATTACAAAAATGTGTTGCTCTCTCAACTACTGAAGTTGAATTTATTGCCATTACGGAAGCTTGCAAAGAAGAGTTATGGTTAAAGAAATTTTTGCAAGAGTTGGGTTTAACGCATGAAAGGTATGTGCTTTATTGTGATAGTCAAAGTACTATTCACTTGAGTAAAAATTTTACTTTTCATTCAAGATCGAAACACATTGATGTAAGATACCATTGGATTCGTGATGTGTTAGATTCGAAATTGTTACAACTCGAAAAAGTTCACACGGATGATAATAATTCGGATATGTTGACTAAGACTTTGTCGAGGGACAAACATTTGAAGTGTCGAACTTTGGCGGGTATGGTTGATATCTCTACCTAAGTCGTAGGGGGAGAATTGTTGAGTATACCTCTTTATTGGAATGTGGGACCCAATTGGTTTGTAAAATAGTTTTAATTTGGATTGGTTTAGGTATAATATATTTTTATATATTATATTTGTGGAGATCCAATTCAATTTGGATATAATTAGGATTTGATTACAAAACCTAAGATTTAATAACATATATATATATATATATATCTAATATATATATTGTTTTGTACTTCACAAAAGGTGGACAGCTACTACAAAATTTTCACCTTTTTTCGAAGCACTGTGCGGCTGATTTGTGTTGGTACGCGCTGGGTTAATTTCGGCAGCGTGTGTATTGGTTTGGTTCGGCTTTCGGTTATGTTTTGGATGCATTTTTTTGGCTCTTCTACAATTTTGGTTTTTAAGATTTTGGTTCATCTATTTGGTGAGGTCTTTCCTCTTTGTTTATTTGTAATTATTTAGAATTCACCTAAGGGTGATTTTGTGAGACCATTAGTGTCTCGTTTGTAATCGTCTTTGTTTATTTGTAATTATTTAGAATTCACCTAAGGGTGATTTTGTGAGACTATTAGTGTCTCGTTTGTAATCGTTTGGAACTTATTTGGTTGATAGTGGAATCGGATTTCGATCCCGTGGACGTATTTCACATTGAGGGAACCACGTAAAAATTCTTGTGTTGCTTTTGATTTAATTTTTCCGCATTAGTTTGTATTCTCATTGATTGATTTACTTGTGGAGAATCACATATTTTTCCTAGCACTGGTTTCAATCCCAGATGGTTTGGAACCCTGGGAGGATAGAAATGAAGTTAGGAAGTTAACAGAATCAATTTTCCACGTCATGCCAGGGAAGCTGGAAGAGCTCATAGAAAATATTAATGGATCAGACAAAGACAAGATTACTTGCATTGTTGCAGATGAGCTCTTGGGATGGGCCCTTAAAGTTGCAGAGACGATGCAAATCAAGTGAGCTGCCTTTTGGTCTACGGCAGCTGCACTCTTGGCTTTGGGATTCAGGATCCCAGAGCTGCTTGATGATGGGATAATAAACAATAATGGTAAGAACTCATATACTAATTCTTGATTCTTCTTTCTGATACAGCGTACCATACTAAAACAGAGACAAATTTAACCATTAGTTACGATTACCTGTATGAATATAACACAACATAGGGGCTCAATAATTTATTATGCTGGGTGACTGAAGAAAATTTTTACAAAACTATCATGGTGAAAAAGTTTCGCAGGGAACATGAGAATGAAAGAAGCAACTCATGACATCAAAGAAATAAAGGACTACAAAATAGAAAACAAAGCATATTTTGCCACTATAGAAGGCTGGAATTTGACAAGTAATTCATGAATCAAGCATCCAAAACATGATAACTACAGAAAATTTTTGCTGTTATTAAAGGATGACAACAACAAAACAGTAACAATAAAAATAAAATCTGGAAAATTTATCATTGTGCATCTATCAGGGTAACCGCAAAAGTGATGCACAAACACTATAGCCTAAGCCTTGCAAGGTTTGATTATTGGGGGAAAAAAACTTTTAAACATAAAATTTTTTAGATCGTATTATGATAAAATTGTTAGCATTTGTTCTGCATCCATAAACAATTATCCATTTTCAATAAGAAATGGTCTGCATCATGCTGCAAGGTAACCAATTTGGTTATCAATTTTTTCTACTGTTATTGCCAATGATACTTTATTTTTATAAAGTTAATTATTTATTATTGTTATCCTTTTGCAGGAACACCAACAAAGAATTAGATGATAAAACTATCACCAACCATGCCCGCCATTAGCACAACACACTTTGTGTGGGCATGCATTGGGGACTTGGCCACACAGAAAACGTTTTTGAAGTTATTGTAAAAAATAACAAGTCTGTGGCAGTGGCAGACTGGCTGATTTGCAATTCAACTTATGAGCTAGAGCCTGCAGTATTTACCTTATTTCCAAATATCATGCCTATAGGTCCACTTTTGACAAGCAATGGACTTGGAAATTCAGCAGGCTACTTCTGCTAAAAGACTCAACTTGCTTGGAATGGCTTGATCAACAGCCAGCCAACTTAGTCATCTATGTTGCATTTGGGAGCTTCACAGTTTTTGACCAGATCCAATTCCAAGAATTTGCTTTGGGGCTTGAACTCACCAACAAACCATTCTTATGGGTTGTGCGGCCAGATTTAACTGACAACAACAACGATGCTTACCCAAAAGGGTTCATAAAAGGAGCAGCAACTCGTAGGCGAATGGTAGGTTGGGCACCTCAGCAGAACGTCCTGGGACATCCTTCTGTTGCTTGCTTTTTAAGCCATTGTGGCTGGAACTCTACCATGGAAGGCCTAAGCAATGGAATCCCTTTCTTATGTTGGCCATACTTTGCTGACCAATTTTTTAACCAAAGTTACATTTGTGATGTTTGGAAAGTTGAATTGGGGTTTAATTGTGATGAAAATGGGATCATCAAACAAGGAGAAATTAAGAACAAGGTGGAGCAACTGCTCAATGACAAGACATTTAAAGCAAGGGCTTTGGATCTGAAAGAAGTGGTTTCAAAAAGTGCCAAAGAAGGTGGATGCTCTCACAATAACTTTAACAATTTTATTGAATGGATGAAGGCATAGACAAGTTGTTCAGTCTGCTGACAATCTCGGGGTTTGTTTCTTGATTTTATTAATTATATGTCCCTGACACTGAAACTGGACTTTGTAATGTCTTTCTCGAACAGTTACGCTATGCTTTTTCTCTCTTATTGTGCTTCTATGAACCCAAGGCCTCCTGCCCCTTCTGGTACTTTGAAAGTTACTACATGTCTTTCATTAAGGTGAATAGACTCTATACCAATAGGGCAACCAAGCAAGAAGCTAACCAGACTGCCAAGCCGAAGCGCTCACCAGCAAGAACATGATCTAATTGAAGAACCAAGAGCACTCTGACGTTAGGTTGGACAACATGCATCTTAGTCGGTGTCACCACCATTACATTTTTTATGTTACTAACTTACTATACATTAGACAATGCAGTAAATGCAACAAGAGAATTATGAGAACGCCATACATGTTACTAGTACTATAACAAAAAATAAAATAAAATAAAAATGTAGAGAAACATGTCAAACAAAAAAAATTGAAGGAAAAAATAAATCATTTTTTTGGTTAAAAAAAATAGACTTTATAGAAAATGAAACAAAAGTAGCATAGCAGCTATTGTAGCACATACTCAGTGGCTAAGTAATAAATATATTATTTCCTCCCATATGAAGCACTTTTAAAGAAGAGCTCTAAATGATTGAAGATGGTATGTAACCAGTGAGGCCGGCGTTTCTGATAGATAGTGGCCTTGTTTGGTTTGTGTTTCAGAAATAATTTTCTGAAATATTCTCTGAAAACACATTTCTGAGAGTAATCAAACCAAACAGATTTTCCCAAAAAAGTTCTTAGAAATGTGTTTGGTTGTCTTTTTCCAGGATGCACTTTTCAAAAAATTTCTCAAAAATCCATTTGGTTGGTTTTTTCAGAAACAAACCCCAATTAGAAAAAAAAATAGTGTGTAACATTTTTTTTTTGAGAGAGAGAAGGAAAACAACACAACATATTATGCATGAGGTAGAAGTTTTACAAAGTCTGATCAGAAATTGTGTAAACAGTTTCACAGATTTTACACATTTTGGCAGTTGGTGTGTAAAAAAATAGTTCTACCTGTCACACATTTTGGCAGATTTTACACATTTTACAGATTTTACACATTTTGTTCTACCTGTCACACAGATCATCATGAAGGAAGTCTCCAACCTGAGGGAAGCCTCCAATAGTAGGCAGCCACAGCAATCAATCCATGACCAGAAAAAAGAAAGCAACACATTAGACTACATGTTGCTCTAAATTTAAAATACAGAACACACAGATTCAGAACATATAAAATATTAAGGCCTTTGGTTTTTCTTCACCATTCACCATCTGTTCCACTTACAAATTCAGAACATACAGATTCAGCATCTGTTCCAGTTACAGCATCTAAATTTAAAATACAGATTCACCATTCAGCATCTAAATTTAAAATACAGAACACAGAGATTTAGAACAGATTCAGAACACACAGATTCAGCATCTGTTCCAGTTACAGCATCTAAATTTAAAATACAGATTCACCATTCAGCATCTAAATTTAAAATACAGAACACAGAGATTTAGAACAGATTCAGAACACACAGATTCAGCATCTGTTCCAGTTACAGCATCTAAATTTAAAATACAGATTCACCATTCAGCATCTAAATTTAAAATACAGAACACAGAGATTTAGAACAGATTCAGAACACACAGATTCAGCATCTGTTCCAGTTACAGCATCTAAATTTAAAATACAGATTCACCATTCAGCATCTAAATTTAAAATACAGAACACAGAGATTTAGAACAGATTCAGAACACACAGATTCAGCATCTGTTCCAGTTACAGCATCTAAATTTAAAATACAGATTCACCATTCAGCATCTAAATTTAAAATACAGAACACAGAGATTTAGAACAGATTCAGAACACACAGATTCAGCATCTGTTCCAGTTACAGCATCTAAATTTAAAATACAGATTCACCATTCAGCATCTAAATTTAAAATACAGAACACAGAGATTTAGAACAGATTCAGAACACACAGATTCAGCATCTGTTCCAGTTACAGCATCTAAATTTAAAATACAGATTCACCATTCAGCATCTAAATTTAAAATACAGAACACAGAGATTTAGAACAGATTCAGAACACACAGATTCAGCATCTGTTCCAGTTACAGCATCTAAATTTAAAATACAGATTCACCATTCAGCATCTAAATTTAAAATACAGAACACAGAGATTTAGAACAGATTCAGAACACACAGATTCAGCATCTGTTCCAGTTACAGCATCTAAATTTAAAATACAGATTCACCATTCAGCATCTAAATTTAAAATACAGAACACAGAGATTTAGAACAGATTCAGAACACACAGATTCAGCATCTGTTCCAGTTACAGTTGATCTTCATCTTCGTCACTTGATTCTTCTGCATCGAAAAATTCATCCTGTTCTTGCACCGTCCGGATCCAATTGTGGAGAACACAACATGCCATAACGATTGGCCCTTGTCGTACCATATCATACCGTGGCATGTGTCTCAATAATGGAAACCGTTGCTTCAACACTCCAAAGGTTCTTTCTATAACATTCCTCAAAGAAGAATGTCTATGGTTGAACAACTCCTGTGGACCATGGTAGCGACGCCGCCTATTGAACTCTTGCAAATGGTATTTTTGGCCACGATATGGGGCTACGTACCCGGGCATGTGTGTATACCCGGCGTCAACGAGATAATACTTGTCTATAGTAAAAATCTTTCAGTGAGAACATGTCATGGCATATTTGGGTGTGAAAAAAAGGAAAACTCTAAATTAAAAACAAATACACTTACTAGGTGGTGGGTGTGGAAAGTCAGCAGAATTTGTGGTAAGTGCTTCTAGAAAAATTCTCGAATCATGTGCACTACCTTCCCAACCAATGTATACAAACGTAAACTTCATGTCAAATGAACATGTAGCCATGACATTTTGAGTTGTATGCACTTTTCTACCTCGATATGGCATTCGGTCACCTTCTGGTGCCACAACAACAATATGTGTGCCATCTATGGCCCCTACACAGTCCTAGATGACATAACTTTGAATTAATTTATCAAATTTTGTGTCTCAATAAGCCATATAAAATAATACAAATGAACTGCAATTTTTGTTACCTTAAACCATGGCCAGTACCGTCTGTCATTCCGAATTTTAGGATGGGTAACAGCCATGTTCGGTGGTTGGATTACAAATGGCGCAAGATTTCCCAATGCCCGCATCATAAGTACAAAATGACGATGAATTGTCTCATTTGAGTGCTAAAATCGATCTCTAGCATTACTTGTTCCTGAACTTTGACCACAGATAAATAAAAACATAGCCAATGACTCTTCTAGTGACAATCGCATGTTCGACCAGTCTACAACATTTCTACAGACAATCTGTTTAACGAATTCCACAAATGTCGGGACTTCCATTCGCAATTGTTCACAGATTGATTTAGGATTTCCACTTAGTAAGAATTTTATGTACTGCTCACCGGTGTATGGACAATTACATTGCGGTTGTCTCGTAGGAATGTCACGTCTTAGTTGACAAACCATGTGTAAGTCCATCACATCATCGTCATCGACACTGTACGGGTCATACATATTGTTCGGTTGCCCTCCATTGGGTCATGACGACGACATCTAAAATGGAAAGTGTAAAACAATCAAGGTATTATCAGTAATGACATGAGTGTAACACTAAAAATTTAATGAGGACATTGCAACAAAGAAAGCATGGAGAAAATAGTAAACTTTTGCACGCGAAATCTCATATTAAATATTCGTAATGGCTATTATTATACATATGCTTAATATCACTTACTGGCAAACTATTTTTGGAACTTCAGTTGTTCACATAACTGTAAACGGTAATTTGTTGCACTTGTATTAGGCTAGAATGGCTAACGATAATGACGATTTTAAGATGTGGGGGTTCAAAATTGTGAAGATATTTTTAGAAATATTGGTGGACGAAATTAAGAAAGAGGGTCCTTCCATGTCAAAGAAAGATAGGAGTTTTTACCCAAGGCAGTGGCAAACAATTGATGATGAGATGACTAAAAAGGTTGGAAAAAATTATGGGCTAAAAAAATTGAAGGGTAAGTTTGCGCGTTTGAAGGCGAACTACAAAGAGTTTGTTGCTCTGAAAAACCACACGGGTTTGGGCTGGGATCCAATCACTCAAATAGTGATAGCCCCAGACGATGTTTGGGAAAATTATGTTCAGGTAATTATTTTGGCGCATACATTTACCAGAACCATGTGTATAGAGAAATATTTTTTTAAATGATTAATTAATGTTTACAACTTGTAGGCACACCCAAATGCAAAACAATTCCAAACCAAAGGCCTTGAACATTATTAGCTCATGTCAGAAATATTTGCCAAGTCATTTGCCACTGGCGCTTTTGCCCGTTTTTCTCGTCAAGGTGCACCCACATCTGATGACGAGTGAGAAATGGATGAACGCTTTCATGTATATACGTTGGGAAAAGGCGTAGTAGATGAATCTTGCACTTCCGGAAGTAAGCGTAAGTCTAGTGGCCAGGGTCAGTCCAGCAAGAACCCAAAAGTGGATAATGCACTGCAATCATGGCAACATTCATGTGAAGCACGTGAACGGTTTTACCTTCAAGCAGTGGCCAACGCTGGGGCATCTGATGCGTACTCCGTTGTAGCATGTATGGCCATCCTAAAATCAATGGCCCTGGATCCGAGCTTGTTTTTGAAGGCCATGAACATGTTCACATCACTAGAATGGCGAACCATGTTTATGACCATGGAACTGGAAATGAGGTACCTTTGGATCCTCAGTTTGTGAGAAGCTTGGTCATTCCACTGTTCGGTTTGACGTGAAGGAAATGAAGATGGACTATGTTTGGGTGTATTTTTCTTTTTTTTTTGGCATTTGTTAAACCTAAATTATATTTGTTTTAATTTGTTTGTTTTTCCCTTTCGGTTTGGACTATGTTGGGTGTTGAGCTAACTATCTATATCATGTTGTCTATGTGGTTTCGCTTTAGACTTAAGGCTGACCGGTTGCGGGCTCTGCCACGACGGGAACTCAAACCCCGATTTTTACCGGGGCACCCTTTTTGACCATTCGACCTAGTGCATATCAGAATCCATGGTGACTATTCCAAACTATGACAGGTTGCTTACCCGATTGTAGGTTATTTGAAACCGCTGTGTGCGTAGTGAAACCCTAGCTCCTGACAAAATAGGGCAGGGAAACCCTACCCCAACATAGGGGTGTTTTGGCTCTTATTTGTTTGCTATGTGCTTTTTGAGGTAGCCTCTACAGGGAATGCACGTATCAGTTTGCAAGTCTGGGCATCAGGCTTGCGGGCATCAGTTTTTGGGAATCTGTTATAACTACGGGTATCAGATCCAGATTTGGGACAGTGATTTGAGAACAGTGATTAGTGTTTGAGAACAGTTCTTCCAGCTTGTGTTTGCCAACTGTGTGTTGTGTAAATTTAAGTCGTTATGTTGTCCGTTTTTTATTTCCTTATTATGCTTTATTTATCTTTTTGCAAGGTAGTTTAGCACCATTGCATCCGACCAGGTAGATATTCCCCGAGCACTCTAGATTAGAGGTCGTAGACTTAATCGATCTAGGGATCTGATAGACGGACAAGCAGTGTTTCTTTCTTTACCCCCGGTTATTAGATGGAGGTCAACAAGGCGCAGTGTATCAGTACAGTGGTCGCCAAATCAGTGGTCTACCCCACCAGTGAACAGTCAAGCTGAGGTCTCAGTTTCTATTGTAGGGATAGATATACCGATTATTTAGATAGATCAGTACAATATGGCAGGCTTAGAGGAGATGGTGCATCAACTCCAGGAAAGTATGAAAACCATGCAGCAGGATGCTGCTCGTCAAATAGAATTTGCAACATGCCAGGCCGAGGTTATGGCCCAACAGGCAGAGGTAATCACTAGGCTATAGCAGCAAACTGGAGCATCTGTTTCACACCAAGCTCCTCCTCTACCAAGAGTTCCAATACTCGGGGAGACAGTTAATGTCCAGGATGATACGGACATTCCAATCGGGCCAGCTCCGCCCCCGGTTCTACCCCAATTGTCCAAAACACCCACCAACCTGTCGGATTCTCCCTTTAAGTTCAAGGTGGATCCTACAGCACTGAAAGTAACTTGTAAAGCTTTTCAAGAAGTCCAAGGGCGTGAAGTCCATCCGGGATATAGAGGATAGGTATACCGACTCGGTTGTGACTCTGCCAGATTGGATTAAAATGCCGCACATAGACCGTTTTGACGGGTCTGGAGATCCTATGGTGCATTTGCGACTGTTTTCGGACATACTAAGGCTGATGGGCCTCTCCAGATTACAGAAGCTTTCCTTATTTGGCCGGACCCTATCGGGTGTAGTGGCCATTTGGTACGCCAAACTAGAAGACTCCGTCAAGAGGAGTTATGAGGAGATGGCCGAGGCCTTCATAGCTCAATACTCCTACAATACACAAATTGAGATTACAATATGTGATCTCGAGACAACTAGGCAGGAGCCTGAGGAGAGTTTCTCCAATTTTGTGACCCGGTGGAGGGCCAAAGCCTCGATGATGACCATCAGGCCCATTGACAAAGATCATATTCGGATGGTTGTGCACAACCTCCAGCCAAAGCTTATGAAAAGATGATCTTTCTCCCCCTCTCCACCTTTGCAGATCTACATGAGATAGGGGTGCAGATCGAGGATACTATGAAACAGGGTCTGATTGACCAGGATAGAGAGCTGCCCAAGAGGGCATTCAACCGCCGTACAATTGCAGACAGCTGGCAGATCTTCAGATGTAGGAATGGTCACCACCACCACCCCGAGAACCCTTGCAGCTACGCCGTTCACCGGTGCGTCCGAAAGTAGCTCGCAAAGAACCAAGTATTCACCCTGAGGCCAAAGAACCTTCACCCCACTATATATGGCCCCGTCCATAGCTCTGGGGGTTTTGATCAGGAAAGGGCACTTGAAGCCCCTAGAGCCGCGGCCACTACCAGACAAACTCCCTGCTTCCTATAACCCAGCCAAGTACTGCGCCTATCACCAACAGCATGGTCATGACACCGACCAGTGCTTTCGATTACGTCATGAGATTCAAGATCTCATTGATAACAGGGTGATCGTACCTCCGGAAAAACTGAATGTCACAACCAACCCTCTTCCACCACACAACCAATCTCCACCTCCCAAACGCATCAATCTAATCCAAACTGGGGTTGTGCCATACGACCCTAGCATATATATCATCCCTTCTCACCTACCTAAGCCCGAAGTGTACATCCCTGACAGCACTGACTTGTGCATGTTAGACATCTCCCAAACCCGACCAGAAGCAGTGGTGGTGGCTATCGAAGATAGAGTTCGGTCAACCGTGGGAACAAATGAGAATAATTACACAAAGCTTGAGGGGTCTGCGAGCTTCATATACAACTCGAGCGGTTACAGTACATCAGTAGGCCAGGATAGGCCGAATGTGGAATTGCCAATGGAGGCAGAAATTTGTGTAGTACGGGAGGATAAACCTAATCAGGGGCTAGATGACCTAGCGGATCTGGAAGAAGACATTGCAAATCTGCAGTTCTTTGAAGAGCAAAATTCGAGGGATGTAGCGGTCAATTGGTTTGATGAGTCAGCAGAGTCTACTGGGTGGCTTGACGATCAGTCATATATTGTTGAATGACCTCAACTAGAACAGGGTCCGTCAAGGGCAAGGACACCAACAGTGGTCGGAAGGGCCGGGAATCAGTCTACATCACCGAAGAGCACCAGCGTGAAGAATTTTGCTCAGAACACAGACAGTTTGGGTACAGAAGAAACTGAACAGAAGGCTGCACTGAAGCAGTTTGAGCGAGAAAGGATCAAGGATTCTGAGAGGACAGAGCATGTTGCAGACATAGGAACAAAAGGTGCTATGGGCACAAAAATAGCTGTGACAGAGCCAGACAGGTGTTTGTCGGCTGCCGATGGCATGTGGTGGGAAGATGACGACCTATGTCTTGCTCACACAGATGAAGACTGGGGACAAAGCCAGCCAGATGATACCTGGTATGTGGGAGAGGTTGACCACATGACTAGGAGCGGACGGTATTTCAATCCCCTACACTTAGATCAACCAGAAGCGTTCGGGAAGGACAAGGAGGCGGAGAAGCAAAGAAAGAAGTTACTCGAAGAAGAGGATGTGCTGAAACAACTTAAGAAGATACAGACAGACATCTCCATCTAGGGACTGCTTATGGCTTCAAGAGTACATAGACAGGCTGTCCTTTCTGCAATGGACAAGGCCAAACTTTCAATAGACACCACACCTGAACAGCTGGTAGGGCTGGTCTTTCCGAGAGGAGCTTTCCCGATGTTGACCTTTTCTGGCAAGGAACTACAGCCTGAGGGCTCAGATCACAACAAACCACTCTACATCTCCATGGAGTGTAGAGACAAGTGGATACCGGTGGTTCTTGTCGACACGGGATCCGCCATTAATGTATGTCCATCGAGGACGACATATGCAATCAGGTTGAAGCCCGTGGACTTTGTGCCAACCACCCAGGTGATAAGGGCCTATGACAATACAAGCAGAGAGATGAAGGGGACTGTGCAGATTCAGACCCAGGTTGGTCCAGGACAACACGATGTTGACTTTCATGTCTTGGATGTTCTTGCAACCTTCAATCTACTCCTAGGGCGGCCGTGGCTGCACTAGGTAAAGGCGGTCTCTTC